AACACTCGTCAGCCGTCAACCGCCTTGGTTCCTAATGATGGCAGACCCTTCTCCGCCAGGGGACAAAAGTGGCGATGCACCCCGTCCACCCTTACCTTGAAAAGATCCCGCACTGTAGAAAATAAAGGTGAACAAATGGAAATTAGAAACCCACTAGGTCAAAGAGTAGTCAAAGATCCTTTAAATAAGCTTTTTTTCCATGGCGACGGTGCAAAATCGCTTTCATGGGATGAAGCATTGGGTGACATGCAATTGGTTATCCCTGAACTCGATCAATGTCTGATAGATCTGGTTTAAGTCTGAGACTGCATATTTTAGTTGAAGATTTTAAGAAAGCATGTGAATTATGGAAGAAAACACTTATAGTGAAAACGTAGGGTAAATCCTTTGGTTTTAATTTTCTCTTTAATAGACTACAAGCTATCTAGACACTTCAAGAGGAGTTTTCACTTGTGGATTTGGGTAATGACTATTATTTGGTTAAGGTGCAAAAACTAGAGGTGTTCACATCTTAACGGAAGGACCATGGCTAATTGGAGGCTACTACTTAACTGTCCGGAAATGGAAAACATTATTCAACCCTTGGGAAGAAGAAATCTCATCTGCTGCAGTTTGGATTCGATTGCCAGGTTTACCAGTGGAATTCTTTGACGCAAAGATTTTGAAGGATATAGGGAATCTTGTTAGTAACACTATAAAGATTGATAGGAATACTAGAGATTCCTTGCGAGGTAAGTTTGCAAGGGTTTGTGTTCAAGTTGATCTGAAACAACCATTACTAGGTGGCTTTGGGATTGGACCAAGATGTCAGAGTGGAATATGAAGCGGAATATGAAGCCTGGAAAATATTTGCTTCAAATGTGGTACATATGGCCACCAAGAAAAGTCTGAGAATTGCCCAAACTTACAAGCCAACAGAGATGGAATCTTCACCTACTACCGAAACAATGCCAACAGTTACTCCACTAGAGAAGTTATCAGAATAGGCAGAGAAGAAGGCAGATGACGGCTCCCAATTTGGGCCTTGGATGGTTGCACAAAGAAGAACAAGGAATTCTAATGGCAATAAGGCTCGGATTAGTAAACAGAGGGAGGCCTAAGAAAGGATCTAGATCCAGGTTTCAAATCTTGGAAGAAATTGAGGAAGAATTATCATTGCCTATGAAAGAAAATTTGAATGCAAGAGGAAAGGACTCCCTTACAATGGATCTCAAAATCAAAGTGAGCCACTAAAAACCATTGAACAAAGGGAAACAAATATCCATCCCTTTTGTGAATATTACCAATGTTAGCAAAAATGATGGTGCTGGGTCCCTTTTTTACTCAAATTCCAGTCAAAACACTCAACATATCCCCACCCATTTTACCCCTGGAGCTTCAAGCAGTGTTCAAAAATCTGTTGTCAAAAGTCCTTTCCAAAAAAAAAACAAAACATTCGCAAGCCAGTTGTCCTACTTGCCCTTTTGAACGCTCCCCCTCCCAACTATCATTTCCAAACATCATCTTTCGCATAGAACATTGCTTACACAAAAACACTAGTTACACCATCCAATCCCATATCTCCAGCCTATATTAGCACCACCCAACCTTTTTTGAACCATCATCATAAAGAGGTTATGGTTGTTGAAGAAATTAACCAAGTCCCCACTCTTAAAGAAGAAACGGTTGATAAAGAATCTAATCATCACCCCACTATCAACATTGATGGGACCAGCACTAGTTTAACTAGAGCTAATATTGATGCCAGAAATGGAGGACCAGGGGAACTTGATACCCCCATTTCCACTGATAATTCTGAAAGCAGAAGTATTTCTTCTTCTGAAGTTATTGAATCTGGCAATGATACGCCGATGGAAGGAGTCAACTGACTCCGTGACTTACTTATCACATTTAAATCCTATTTTTTTTATGAAAGTCTTATTTTGGAATGTTAGAGGTGCAGGAAGTGAGGATTTGTAAGAACGATCAGAAATCTTGTTAGTTAACACAAGACTACAATTGTTGGTTTAATGGAGACTAGGGTCAACAATGTCGGGACACTGGGCAGAGAACATTATTCAAAGAATATGTTTTCCTCGGTAGAGAATTGTGAACGGTATTGGGTTTACTGGTGAAATTTTGCTGTTGTAGAATGATGCTGAGGTTGATATTCACGTGGAGGAAATAACTTTTCAATCTGTCACGGCAACAGTTACAAATAAATTCACAATGGAAGCTTACTACAGTCTATGGTAACCCAATCCCAGGACTCAAAGATGATTTATGGGACATCCTAAAGCAAACAAAAAATAGAACTAATATGCCCTGGATAATTGGAGGTGACTTCAACGAGATTGCGGCCTCTTCTGATAAATCCAATTTTTCTAACATGGATGTAAGACGATATAAGAGATTTAAAAAGGTGATACACAATTGTGAGCTCATTGACTTGGGGTTTGTTGGTCCAATATATACATGGTTCAAGTCTCCAAGAGGATTATCTACAGTTTGGGAGAGAATTGACAGAGTTTTATGTACAGCATCTTGGAAAGACTTATTTCCTGAAGTAATTGTCCTACATCTTCCAAGGGTCAAATCTGATCATTGCCCGATTCTCTTAAACATAAAAGGTATTCTTAATCCTTCTCCTAATCTAAGACCTTTTAGATTTGAAGAAGCTTGGACTCTTCATGATAGGTTTAAAAGAATTGTGCAGGAATTTTGGGATCATAATTCTGACTAACTTTCCTGTCAAATTGGATAACCCAGCTACTACTTTAGTCGAGTGGAATAAATCTACATTTGGGAATATTTTCAAATCTAAACGAAGAATCCTTGCTAGAATAAGAGGGTAACAAAAAGCTTTATGCCAAAGCCCAAATCCTTTTCTTTGGAATATTGAGAGCAACTCCAAGCTGAATATACACAGATTTTGAAACAAGAAGAATTGTTGTAGTTTCAAAAATCAAGGGAGCAGTGGATACAGTCTGGAGACAGAAATACTAGCTATTTTCACACATTGGATCTCATTAGAAGAAGCAAAAACAGGATAGCTGCCTTGAAAAATCATGAAGGGCAATAGATCACTGAAGTTGACAGCATTAAAGAACTTGCTCTTAATCACTACATTGTACTATACAATGAAACTTTGTATGATATTGAAAGACCTGACATCTCTATTACCTATCTGAAACTCACGAGAGCAGAGTTAGAAAATTTACATAGATCAGTCAAATAATAAATGCACTGTTTAGCATCAGACCACATAAGGCTATTGGACCTGATGGTTTCTAAGCTTGTTTCTTCCAAAAGAATTGGGACATTGTAGGAGAAGAGTTGTGTAAGGTGATTGATGAAATTTTTTCATCTGGCACCATTCCTTAGGGTCTCAATGAAACCCCCATTACCCTCATCCCTAAAACTAACCATCCTGAAAATATGAATTAGTTTCGCCCTGTCAGTCTCTGTAATGTGGTATATAAAATCATCACTAAGATTTTGGTGGAAAGAAGTCGAACTGTTCTACCTACTCTCATTGGTCCCACCCAACGCAGCTTTGTTCCTGGACAACATATTGTTGATAATGTGGTTATTATGCAAGATATGATTCATTCTTTAAAAAAGAAAAAATGGAAAAATGGTGTAGTTGCGTGGAAGATCGATCTTGAAAAGGCGTATGACAAGATGAATTGGCAATTTATTCATGAGATTATTATGGAGATTGGTCTAAATAGTTCTTTTCTTTCCCTTATCATGTCCTGTATCACATCAACTTTTCAATTGCTTTGGAATGGTGAAAAAACTGAAGAATTTCGGACTACCAGGAGATTGAGGCAAGGAGATCCATCTCTATCTAAATATTATAGTGAATCTTGACAATTATTCTTTATAAAAAAATGTTATGTTTGATTTAAAGGATTATTATGAGATTTTTCAAGTTGAAAAATATTTTTTGAAATTTTGCTTAAATATTAAGGAATTTAAAAAATTTTCATAACCAAAGGTTTTTAGTTTATTCTTAAATAAAATAATTTTAGAAAAAGATTAATAAAAAAATTTGTGACAATAAATGCTTTTAAAGAGTTATTTTAAATATTAACATTAAGATCATTTTTATCAAAACTAAAGAATAGTACATAATTAATTGATACTATTTTTAAAATTGATATTGTAAGAATACTAATTATTCTTCAAGCATAATTATACTCTCGAACATATTTATAATTTTAAAGATCAAAATTATCTTTTTAATAAATTTTAAACTAATTTTAAGATTTTATTTAAATGATAAAATTTTTAAATGGTTAATCACATTTATAAAAAAAATTAGTAATAACTATTTGTTTTGATTTTAAAATTTATCTAATCAGTTCAACACATTTCGACATGATATAATCAAGCTGAGTCGAATTGATATAATAAAAAGATCGAGCTTAAGTTCAATTTGAAGCCCGTGGCTTGAAACTTAGCTTAAACTTGATTGAGTTTTCATTTTTTAAGCTCAATCTTGACTTAAAATTAAAATTAAATTATTTAAATTAGTTCAATTAAGCTTGTTTATCAAATAAAAATGAGTTTGATTCTCATATTCGATTTCAAACTTTATTATTTGTATTCAAACTTAAATTTAATCTTGAATTTATATATATAAATAATTTTTTAATTAAAATAATAAAATATATATATTAAAATATAAAAAAATAATTAGGCTCTTCATACTCGAGTTAAGCATTAGAATGTTCAAATTTTGTTTACCTAACAAATCGAGTTATTCGAGTTTGATTTAATAACGATCGAATCAAATTTAAATTTTATTCGAATTGAATTTGAATAATTTATAAGTATTAATAAATCATTTACACCATCAAATAGAATTTTTATAATTTTTTGGACTTTTGAATCTAAATAACATTTATATTTAATAATTTTATCCAAAAATTCGAAAAAAAATTTAAAAATTATACTAATAGAAGTGAATCTTTTGCTTATTTTTTATTAATTATATAATAATTTAGATCGAGCCCGACTCAATTTTTAAGTTTAAAACTCTGTACAGACATGGTCCGGGCGACGCAGTAGCCGGACGCATGGATAGGTCTAATCGCATAGCACTAGGAACGTCCAGGCATTCGTAAATAAGAAAGTGTAAAACACACAACGGCAGAGAAAACCCTAGCTTCCTAACCTTCCATTAATAATTTAAACAATGTTTTCCTTCCATCTATAGAAATGTTCATGCACCCAAGACTCCTTTCCACAGTCCCTCATAATGTCGTCATTCTCTCGCCTTCTTCGTCTTTTCGGCGATACCCGAAGCATTTCCAAAGGCATAGCTCTCCACGCCAAGATCATCATATCAGGGATTCCCCGAGATATATACACAAACAATCATTTGCTGGCAATGTACGTAAAATTCGACCGTATTGCTTATGCACGTAAACTATTCGATGAAATGCCTGAAAGAAACGTTATTTCGTGGACGGCGTTGATTTCGGGATATTCTCAAATTGGTATGGCGGAAAAGGCCCTAGGTTGCTTCAGTTTGATGATTAATGATGGTTTGGAGCCAAACTATTATACTTTTGTCAGTGCTGTTTCGGCTTGTGCTAGTTTAGGTGATGATAGAGCTGGTAAGGAAGTTCACGGAAGGATTTATAGGAGTGGGGTGGATTTTAGTACACCTGTTAGTAACAGTTTGATTAATATGTATGGGAAATGTGGGTTGTTGAAGTCAGCTCAGCTGGTGTTTGATTCTATGTTGGAGCCGAATTTAATTTCTTGGACTTCACTTCTTTCTTGTTATAGTCAACAGGGAGAAAACGTGAAATGTTTGAAGATTTTCTTGCTGTCAAGAAGGGTGGGTGTGCGAACTAATGAGTTTGCTTGTGCAAGTATGTTGAGTGCATGTGCAGGATTGGAAGACTTGAAGGTTGGAATGCAAATACATTGCTTGGTGGTCAAATGTGGATTTGAGTTTGACAAATTTGTTGAAACGGGATTGATAAGTGTTTATACAAAGTGTGGAGACTTGAATTTGGCTTGTCAGGTGTTTTTGGACGTAAATCAGTCGAACTTGGCAGCTTGGACTTCATTAATTGGAGGGTATGTTCAACAAGGCAAGAGAGGAGAAGCCATTGATCTTTTTCTTAAGCTGCACTCTTCAGGAATAAAGCCTAGTGAAAGAACATTCTCTTCTGTACTTGGAGCCTTTGCTGATGCAGAAGTTATTGAAGTTGGGAAGCAGCTTCATGCTTTGATCATTAAAATGGGATATAGTTCATTTATATTTGTCGGAAATGCAGTTTTAGACTTTTACTCAAAATGTGGACTTTTTCAGGAATCATTGAGAAATTTTGAAGATATGGATGAGCATGATATAGTGTCATGGAATTCTTTGATCTCTGGGCATGTTGGGTCAGGTCAATATGGGGATGCCATTGAACTCCTAAAAGATATGTTATTTCAAGGATATAAACCTAATCTTTACACATATTCTAGCATGTTGAGTATCTGTAGTGATGTGCCAGCTATCGAATGGGGAAAGCAAACACATTGCTGTATCATAAAACCTGCATTTGATTCCAATGTCATTGTTGGAAGTGCCCTCATAGACATGTATGCAAAGTGTGGGAAACTGAATGCTGCTCAAAAAGTTTTTGATTATCTAACTTCAAAAAATTTGGTTTCTTGGAATACTATGCTTGCAGGATATGCTCTACATGGTTTTGTGAGAGAAGCACTAGAGATCTATAGTAGGATGCAGATAAGTTCTGTCAAACCTAATGATGTTACGTTCATCGGGGTATTATCTGCTTGTGCACATGCAGGTCTTTTAAAGGAAGGCTTGTACTACTACAATTCCATGATCAGGGACCATGGTATTGCACCAAGGCTGGAGCATCTAGCTTCTATTGTCAACCTTCTTGCTCGTAAAGGAGAAATTGGAAGAGCTTATGAGTTCATAAGGAGTTTCCCTATGGAGCCAAGCAAGGTGGTTTGGCGATGTCTTTTGTCAGGCTGCAAAACTCACAAGGATCTAATCTTAGGAAGACTTGCAGCAGAGAAAATTTTGAGTATTGATCCGGAAGATACTTCAGCTCATATTATGCTATCAAACATTTACGCAGATGCCAAAATGTGGGATGAAACAGCGCAATTGAGAAAAATTATGAAGGAGAAAGAAATAAAGAAAGATAGAGGATGCAGCTGGACTGAATTGAAGAATAAGGTGTATAGTTTTTCTGCAAGTCATTCTACAAAATTTGAAGGGATCGACCTAACTGAAGTTTTGAATCAATTGACACTCCATTTGTTTGATCCAGGATATTTTCCTGATGCCTTGTTCTATTTTCACAGTGAGTGAGCTGAGGATGTGAAACGAAGAAAGTTTACTGCTACAGCATCTCATTCTACAGTTGTATGTTATTTATGGTAGATGAATATCGAAAGAGTCTTATATCAGGAGAAAGAGGGCAAAAACACTTAAAAGCTGGGATCTTTCATCAAATATGGCTTCAAACAATATGCAAATACAGGTATTCTAGTGCATACAAAACATTGACTTATCAGAAACAAAAACAGAATTATGTAAATGAAGCGACATAACATTGTCTGTAAATTTGTAAGAACATGCCGCAGATAGTTGAATATGAACTGACAATGGCTAGAAATTTTGAAGTTTTGGGGGTGGCATAGCTGAGTGTAAGTTCTCCAGGGCTTCTACTCTTTAGTTTCATGGGGTAGTCTGAAGTGCATCCAAATCTTGGTCCATGCCTGTTTTTTATTTTGAAGATAGTTGGTGACCTAATTGGTATGAACTTGCTTCCTGCTTTTATTTGATCCTTTGTATGATCTCTTTCTTTGGCACACCTGGGCTTTGGAGATTTCTGGAGTGTGTTCACTTATAATTTCTTGTCTTTGTGTCTGAGCTAAAAATGATGATTCAAAGGGGAAAGTACCTGACTAAAATAGGAAAAATCAGAAAATAGGCTAGAAGCACAATATTTAGCAATTTTTTGTTATATCAGATCAGCAATGTTAAAGTAAGTGTGAACACAAAATTATGTAGAAAAATTTTCATGAAAATCAGTTTTTGCCTAGAATCTTGAAACTAGAATGCTTCATTTAAGCATTTTCGGTTCTTCAATTTATTTGTTTATTTATTTATTTATTAGTTAATGTTATGAACAACTTTTGAATTATAGTAAAATATTCAATATGGTACTTAAACTTTAAAAATATTTAATGTGATACTTAAACTATAAATTTATTAATTAATATAATATTTACTCCTAACGTGATTGGCTTTAAATAATAACACACGACATACAAATAATCATTTAATTATCACATTAATTAATAGATTTATAATTCATATAATATATTAAAAATTTTTAAAGTTCAAACATAATATTTTCACTATAATTCAAGAATTATTCATAATGTTATCCCTTTTTTTATTTATCTACTGAACTGATTGCTCTTTTTCATTGTACAATGGTCGCTCTGGCTTGGGTTTCAAATAGCAGTTGTATAGTTGCATCGTGGCTGCTATTTCGCGGCCACCGCTACATACTCAAAATTGGGTTGTGAACGGGATTCATGATCATAACGGCAACTCATGATCGCAAAATAACAGCATAATGGACAACAGTAAGATGCTATAGCCACAATCACCATTTTTCAGTTCAAAATGTAATTTGAAAACCATTCTTTTTTTCAGCAGTTATAGAATTTTTTATAAAAAAACATATTCTAAACAAGAAAAACCTTTAAATTTATAACGCAATCAGCAAATACAAACTTTAATCAAGATCAAAGAACATGTTGTTGAAGTCAATCAATGACTACCTCAGACCTTAAGAATTGAGAACAAGCAAAACATTCTTTAACAACCAAGATGGGAAGATGAGAGGTTTGGGTTCAATAGTAGCGTTGCCGATGGCTTGGGTTGAGGAAGAAGGCAAAGATAGCATCACTGGAACTTGGAAGATGTTAGGAGATAGAAGAAGCAGGTGATATGGTTGTGGATTTTTAGAGAAAGAGAACAAGCAACAGAGCGTGATACAGAGAGATTTAATCGTGAAATTTGAAGAATATAGAGATGTGAAAAAAGTTTAGTAGGTTTGGGTTCAACAGAACCAAGTCAACCAATTATAATATTTAACTTAAAATGTGCATACGTGTGACATTTAAAAGTATGTTGTATTTTGCTTTTTCTTATTTAGGTGAAAATTTGGAGAGGAAAAAGCAAATGATTGTGAGAAATTGGATATTTTAGAAAATCTTTTATTGATTTTGATGAAAATTTAAGGGGAAATGTGAGCTATTAATTAGTGAATTTATTTTTATTTACCATCATTTTAAAGTAATTAGTAGTTTTTTTTTTATAATTTTAATATTATTAATGTTATTGTTAATTGTATATTTTTATTAGCTAATAAAGATTAGTTTGCTATTATTATATTATTTTGGTTTAATTAGTTATTTAAAATATTGCACTTGAAAATTTGATCTAATAGTAAAGTATATTTATTCATAGTCAAACAGTTAGTTTTATCGTCTTCCCCCAATAAACATATGTTATAAAAATATCTAAAATATTCATTACTAATATTTTAATTAAATTAATTATAAATTTAATTAACTTCATATAAGATTTTTTTTTCCATCTTATGTATTGATAGTATTATGTCCTTGAACTTCATGGGTATAATAAAGAAAAATTTATAATATGCATTTTCATTCTAAATTATAACTACAAAACATGAAAAAATTATTTTAATCTATAAATAAAAATCAAAATATCATAAATTATTTTAAAATTATAAGTACTATTTTTTTATTATTATAATTATAATTACTACATTTTATAATAAATTGTAAAAATTAAAAAATAAATTTACGACCTTGATAACCATAATGACTGTAATGATTTTCATTATATCTATAATCATGACAAATGCGAAACAACCAAAAATATATCCGCAATCACAATTTAAATCCTAGCCATCTATTTTATGTAACCTTATGACCTATATGTTACATACCTGAACTTCATCAGGGTTTGCTTAAGTTTCCTTCAAGAAGTTTAAGAAGCTGCCGAGGTATTCATTATTTGGGCGATAATGTCCATTATATGTTGATATGGTCTGAAAAGTCTATAGAAACAATACATGTAAGAGATAAATACCTTTGATTTTGAAGCAACCTTACTTAGACTTTTCTTGTTTCTGTTATGCAACAAGTATTGATATAATGTCACCTTTATTCTAAATAAAGTTGATGAAATTCTTTCTACTCTTCTTTGTTCTAATGTTCAACTTTCGTTTTGGCGGTAGGTATTTTCGCCTTATTTCGCTAATAATTTTTTGTTCAAGAGCCCAATATATTTAATATTCAAAAGATTAGAAAAAAAAAAAACCTATGTTTAATTTGAAATATAAAAGATAAGAATATTAAGTGTTCATAAAGAAAATATGGTAATAATTTTGGGACAAATATAAAAAATTGCATAATAATGGAGAGAGTTATCAAATAGCTATATATATATATATATATTACATCTTTTTAGTTTCATTTAACGAAAAATAATTTGTCTATGTGTTTTATGCATTCGAACATGAATATTAATGTTATTTTATGTTATAATGAATTAATTAATTTACATAAAATTGTATAAAAGTACTAAGTTTGCTATAATTATTGGTGTCACAATATCTTTCTTCGAAGTAGAATTTGTTTTCTAAAAGAAAATTGTTAATATATAAGCAAAGACGCAAAAAATGCAATGAAATTAATTGAAAATTTTATTATAATAATATATAATATGTTTATAATTATAGAATCATCAAGAAATATAAGTAGAGTAGGAGTATAACATATCCGAACCACTGAAAATTGGAGAAATCACTCTTCTGAATTCGATCATACAACTCGACCAGGATTAGGAAATTCCCGTTGTACAAAGGGACTTGGATAGCAAGGCTGCCTATGCGGCAAGAGTAGTCCTTGGTCTATATATAAGAAACCCCCCGAGAGCAAGTTTTTTGTTGTTTGTACCAAAAATTTTCAAGAAAGAAAAAGAAAAAAGAAGATGAAGGTGGTAGCAGCCTATTTGTTGGCAGCTTTGGGAGGCAATACTAACCCTTCTGCTCATGATTTGAAGCAGATTCTTTCTTCTGGTAGACATTAAATCTTTCTCTGTCTCTCCCTTGGATTCTTGATTGCATATTTTCATGGATTTTTATTTTAATCTGTTGAAAAGAAGACTTTCATTCATGGTATTTTGCCGATAGTTTCTGCATGAAATATGTGCTTTGCATTTTATTTTTACTGGAGGATTTAGCAGTTGTTGTTGATTATTGACTACTAGATTTAGCAAGAACATAATATTTTTATTTTTAGGTAAGGAGGGTAAGGTAATTACCGTTTTAAAGCTAACATTTTTCAATATGTAGATAGGTCAGTTTGAGTTGTACTCAAATCAATTCAGAAACTTCTTGTTCATCATATAGGCGAATTATAATGAATTTGTTTATTAATTTTAGTTTGTTACTGATTTGTTAGTTTGGTTAACAGTTGGGGCTGAAGCTGATGATGAAAAGATTGAGTTGCTTCTGTCCCAAGTGAAGGGAAAGGATATGACTGAGCTAATTGCTGCTGGAAGACAGAAATTGGCTGCCATGCCTTCTGCTGGAGCTGCTGTTCCAGGTACTGCTGCAGCTGTTGGAGGTCCTGCTGGTGCAGCCCCATCTGCTGCTCCTTCTGCTGTTGCTCCCAAGGAGGAGGAAAAAATCGAAGAACAATCCGATGATGACATGTGCTTCAGTCTGTTTGATTGAGGATTTAATTAGGAATATTGAACTTTAATTGTTCTGTAGACTCAAAGCAGGGATTAATTAGTTTTCTCTATAGAAGTTAATAGGATATAATCAACATTGACTAAATGGTAAACATATTGCTATATATGTATTTGGTTTAAATTTTTTCAAGATATGGTTATGGTATACATATATTTTTTCGTGTTTGTTACTTCCATCCTGATTTTCAATATGTTTAAGCATTTGGCTGTTAACGAAGTGCTGAGAAACTACAATTATTGCACCACCAGAACAGTATGCATCCGTTATGAGTTTCAAAGAAGTTGCATAATGTACCCTTCGGCATATGCTTGTACATGTCAATATACACTTATTGCAGCACGGTAAAAATTGTTGCAAATACTTTTCATAGATCTTACCGTCACAAGGATCTTATCAAGGAGGTGGCCTGAGTTACTCCAAAAGCCTAATGATTGCACAACTATTCCCTTCTCTAAAAATATGCCTTGCATTAGTGACATTTTTTTTGTCATACTCATTTAGAAGAAACGTGATAGTTTCGTGTCTTTTTTATATTATTTTTGTGTTATATTATTGTATTATATTTTAAAGTGTAAGATCTCATAGCCCCCCACAACAACGTGGCAAATAGCACGCTCCATGGAACTTGAAAATTTGCCACCAAAGAAGACATGCAATTGACTTTTAACTAATCCTTAAATTGTAAAGTGAAAAAGTCAGGTTAAATAACGGTAGCTAGCATGGCCGTAGAAATTTCTTTTGTCACATTACCATTTCTCAAGACAAGATCAATAGATTCCAACCTATTACCACAACGTGGACAAGCAGCATTACAAGTCATATGTTTATAAAAACGTACCTGATTATCACGAACATGTTGAGGACATTTTAACTGCCAAACCCAACATAAATTTAGCAAGCGTAGCAAGATTATTATTGTTGTTATTTCTTTCTTTCCTCAAGCCCAAAGCACCCTTGATTTTGGGACAACAAACCTTTCTTCCTGCGGGAGCTAAAACCTTTCCTTTCCAATCATCCGGTTTCTTCATGACTTTATCCCCCAAAGAATTAAGATATTCCCGAATCATTTGTCAGAGGAATGCCACATGCATTACTTATTTCAAAAAAAATTTTCCTTTGTTTTCATCTAAACTCATATTCCCTTTCTAAAAATTCATATTCCCGTTCTCTAAAAATTTATTTTCTCTCTCTAAAACCAAACTAATTTTCTTTTTAAATTCAAACTAATCCACAAACAGTAATTTTAAATCACCAAAATCCCCGCATCACCACCACCATTAAGTCAATTATGATAGATAAACAATACCTATATCCCCACATTCCAATCTTCTTAAGACCCTAAAGTACTTAAAGTCTAAGTCTCCCTTATGAGATTTGACAACTTGAATTGCTTTTCATCTTATATCATTTACTTTGTGGGGTTTGTAAATGGCATTACTTAGACAACTAAAGCTGCTTTCATCACTAACATCATTATCAATGCTCTCTCTATCAGCAACCAGTGAAATCAGAATCGCAATTAACCAATCCTAAAAAGGTCGATTCAGCAATGCAAAATCAACAATTAAACAATCATGGACACATAAATTAGCAACAAGACACCCACAGAAAAAATTGAAAACAAAATAATAAGTTTTCATTATATGAGTTTTTAGTATTTTTTTAAGTTATAGGACTTTTCTCTTTGGGGTTTTGAAAAAAAATAAAAAAAAAATGTTTGAGGATTCTTAATTGGTGAATAGTGGCAAGGACGATTGAAAGGTTTTGGGTTTTGATTTGAGCTTGAAGTGTTCAAATAGAAACGAAGTTAGCAACAATTTTTATAAGATATTGAGCTTTTGTTGGGTATTGTCTAGATAAGGAAAGAGAGGAACTATGCCACAAGAGAAGGTAAGAGCAAAGGCTAATGATTAATTAATGGCAAAGCAAATAGTGGTTTTTTTCGCTAATTTTTGGGTTTTGTTCTTGAATTTAAAATTGGTAGATAGAAGTTGTAAAATACTCAGGCGATTTGGTTTGGTTAGAGAGAGAATTGGTTTGGTTTTAGGAAGAGAGTATGAATTTTTATAGAAATAATATAAATTCATAAAAAAAAAAAATAAATCATAAAATAGTTAAGTGTCACATTTTTAATCTTAGGAAGCACTTTTCATTTCAACCTGAACTATAGGGTATATTTATGAAGTTAACCCTTTTTTATTTAGTCAAAGATCATTTTGATTTAAATTCTATATTTCAAATGTTTACATGTGTTTGGGTGCTAGATATTTTTAGTTCAAGTTATCCGTTTGGATTTGTATATTTGCAATTGAGCTTTTGCTAGCATTTTACTGCCTTTCTAGCCTTTTGGCTTCTAATAATAAATTTCTTTTGGTTGAGAAAAAATTATTATAAATATGTATATGTATTGTTTGAAGAATGCATAACTAAATAATGTATGCATATGAGGCAAAAGTAAATTATACCTTTTACATAAATATGTGTAGAATCTAATCTCATTTTAATTTTACAACTTTGCACTATACTTATTTATTTGTAACCAAATAAAAAATTTGATAAATAATGAACATAGTTCAATTGGTTCATGACTTCATATAGTTAATTTTTAGATATGACATTTAATAAGTGTGTGGTTTACATCTCAAAATTTGTAACTCATTTTTCTCTCAAATTATAATTGCTTGTATAAAACAAAAATAAATTTATAACAAATAGAGAAAAAATTAATGTAAAATGATTACATTATACATCCACAAAAGAAAAGAAAATTAATTAAAACTATAAATATATATACGACTGATTCACTTATATTAATATAATTTTTTTTATATTTTTTAAAATTTTAAATTAAAATTAAATTTATAACTCACAAATTAAAATAATATTTTTAAATTTAATAAATTTAATAAAATTATAAAAAAATATATAAATATTATATTAATATAAATAGATATCTACTCTCATATATATATATATATATATATATTTAAAAACAATAATGAGCATAGAACTAAAGAAACTCGCATGAGACTTTTTTGAAACAATACATCATTGGCTTTTCAGCAAATCCTTATATTATTAATTGATTAAAGTTCCTATACTTTCCAATATATAAAAATGTAAAGATTTCTATGCCAAATACCAAATATTCACAGTTCAACTGGGCAGCTGGCCGAGAAGGCCCACTTCTCAAAGAAAAGTACATTAAATAATATGAATCACCAAAAAAAAAAAAAAAAGTGGGTTCTGCCCTCTCCAATTTGGTATCCAAGGCATGCTTTCCTTTCCTGTAAATCTTTGACTCGGATCATTTTGGTCACTAATAATACTCAACTGAATTGCCGGTACTATTATCCATGGCGAGAAAATCCCGATGAGCAATCGGCCGGGGAGTGTGAGGTGGTGTTGTACATCTCAATAGTGCCCAATTAACTCCATCAAAGAATTGGTGATGCTTAATTGCCGTAGCACCCATTGTTGATCCCATTCGCCTAGTTGGGTCCTTCATCAAAAGTTGTGTAATCAAGTCCTTAGCTGGGGCTGGCACGGATGGTTCCTTGGGGAACTCAAGTGCTCGAGCCACAATGTTAGCTATGGTTAATTCATGATCAATCCCTTTAAATGGTGTGACACCATAAAACATTTCAAATATGAATATACCTAGCGTCCACCAATCCACCGCATTGCCATGACCCTCACCGGATATAATCTCCGGAGCCAAGTACTCATGTGTTCCAACGAAGGACAACGATCGAACATCAATCGGCTCCGCTACAATCTCAAGTGCCTCACGATGCATTGACTTTTTTCTTCGTTTACGTTTAGGGTGTAAGCATGAGACCACTGGGACTATACAGTTAGGTAAAATGCACGAGGAATTTGATAAATCAGCCGTATGGTCTGTTGAAAAATTTGCTGTCGATGTGTTTTGGTCAGACACAAGCTGAGCCATTGATGCTGAACTATCAGTCCTTAATGAAAGATCAAAATCCGTCAACATTATGTGACCGTCTGATCTTACTAGGACGTTTTCAGGCTTGAGATCACGGTAGATGATGCCCATCATGTGTAGGTATTCCAGAGCAACCACAACTTCGGATGCATAAAATCTGTTAACATTAACATTTTTATCATATTTAAGCTTAATTAATTTTTAAAAAATCTCTACCGAAATTTAAAGGTCTACTGGAACTTGAAGTCCCATGCGCAATAATAGCGCGTGGAGAACACACTCAATGATTATACAGTTAGAAACAAAGAATGATTGCGGGAAAAATTAGCAGTAATTTGAATGGTGGCTTTCAGAGTTATGAATGGATGTTTGCCATGGCTTTACAATATTACATTGATAATGCATGTTTGCCATGGCCCATGAACAAAAGTTGTACCCCTTCCATCTTATTTTATTTATCCATTTTTTAATGTTTTAAAATTATATCACTTTTATATTTTTAATACCCACTACTGGTTTTTTTTTTTTTTATAATTTTTTAACTATGAAACGTTTAAATTTTGATATAAAAATACAATGAAATTAAATTTAAAAAAAAAAAAATCAATAAAGACAATGAAATGGGATGGAGTATTATACTTTCGAGTGAAATTTTGAAAATTGATAATTTTTCTAAGATATTGGTCTTTGTATTTTTGATTTATTTTTTTATATACTTTATGTTCAACGTTTTTACTAGCCTTGGAAATAAATTTTAATTTTGTAATCTTTTAATTACTTAATAACTAATTCCCTTTGATTATTAAGCAAAAAGAAAAATAATACAACTTCTTATCATATAATACTAGCTAGCTACTATGAGTAATCGACTGTAGTATCCCATGTAAAATATCACAATGTATATTATTATAAAAACAATTAAATTGATAGTACTATAAAATTAAATTGAAAACCGTATTGCTCTTTTCATTCCATTTATGTTTTTCTGTTTTATTTTTATGAAATTAAAAAGAAAAAAATTCTTCAAAATTAGTATATTTTAAATTTTTTTATAAAATTTATTTATATGGATTTTAATGCTAAAAAGTTAAAAAAAAAAAAAAACAAAACGATGACAAAATTTAAATTTAA